GATTGGGGCCCAGGCAGCCCTCCTGGTGCTGGAATGATGGCGGCTCCTGGAGGGAGAGGGCTTGCATGTATATCTTAAGAGGTAGAAAGACTTCGCCTTAAATTCAGCTCAGGCCAGGGATTGAGCTCAGTGGTTTCACTGCCTGCCTCTCAAGCTCAAGGACCTTAGTTCAATCCCTGGTACCAAAAAAAATCAGCCCATTTCACTGCTATGTGATCTCCAGTTAGTTGTCCCTTTTAAGCACAGTTTCAAATATAAAAATGGGAATAATAGCAGCTACCTCCTATTGTTGCTTTGTAAATTAAATAAAAAGTGATACACATGACTTCTTATGTTTCAGTGAGTGAAACACAGCAGATATTCAATGAAAGCTTTTAAAAATTATTACACTTGATCTTAGCCAAAAGGCTAAGACGTGATAGGCTTTTAAAAATTACTGAGACAAGGTCTGCAAACTGTCAGCATTCAGACAATGTGTCTCATTCACCAGAGCGGCCTTAGCACCGAGGTCTGGACTGAAAATTTAATGTATGCTCTATAAGTACTGGAGTCACTTTTGCACTTCAACGATTGACTGAGGTTAATTCTTGGGTAATCATGGGCTGGGTGGAAGAGCCCGACACCCTGTGGCCATATTTAGTACTGAATTGTTTTTTTCACCTTGGGGCAGGTATAAACTCTTTCACTGGAAAGTAGGATGAAAGCAGTGTGTTTGCTTTTAATATATTATTTTTCCCATGCTGCACCTGTCCTATTTAGTATCACCACTGAGTCATCCTTTTTGATTTCTCAGGACCTCTACAGTACTTTATAAGCAAGAGAGTTTCTTTCCACTCAGCACAGGCTGGGGTGTATGAGGGGAGGGCATTTCATGCACTCCAAAGCCATTATGTTACTTTTGAAAGTTAAATGTTGAAGAAACTGTGAGACAGTGTTGAAATGGAATGATTACCAGTCAGAAAACCAGACTTTTTTAGCCTTTGTTCTGTCATGTCCCATCTCTTTCTGAGGGAGGCCATTTACTCTGCCTGGGTTTGACTCTTATGACATTAAGAGGATGGGCTAGCTCATTTCCAGGGTGCCCTCTGGCTTCAGACATCTGCGAGCCACCCATGGGTCATTCTGCAGGCCCTTTACCATGTGTCCTGGCCAGCTGTTTGGAGGACTCATCACTGCTCCTGGCCCTTAGAGCACTCTTAACGTAGGTGTCAACCATATCTACTACTTTTTGATTGCCTGTCTTTTGGAGCTAATATTTGTGTCAATCTATGTGAGCACATCCATCTCTTTGGTTCATTTTATATCCATCAAAAAATGGAAGTCATTGGCTTAAATGGTAAGAAAATGTATTCACTGATAAAGATACAAACTCAACCTGGTATCTCTCAATGAGCTCATGTCCTGTTCTCTTTTAGTCTATTATGATATGATACAAGTGTTGCTGCTGGTATCAGTTGTGTGCACGCACACACGTGTGGATTGTACCAGGGATTTATGTGCCCTTGTCATGCACCCTGCCACTGAGTAACCACCCAGCTCTCCTCTGACTTGACTTCTGTTATCCCTACCTTGTGGCTGCCATCTTGATCATGAAGGCCACCATCCAGAATGTCAAAGCTACTCATACTGACATTTAACAGAACCTCAAGTAGCATCTAAGTTTCCTTTTTTTTCTTCTCCTTCTCCTCCTTCTCCTCTGTACTTGGGATTGAACCCAGGGAGCACTGAGACATCCCTAGTAGGCCACCATCCAGAATGTCAAAGCTACTCATACTGACATTTAACAGAACCTCAAGTAGCATCTAAGTTTCCTTTTTTTTCTTCTCCTTCTCCTCCTTCTCCTCTGTACTTGGGATTGAACCCAGGGAGCACTGAGCCACATCCCTAGGCCTTCTTAGTTGTTGTTATTTTCCAGACAGGATCTAAGTAGTCAGGTAGGCCTTGAACTTGCAATCCTCCTGCCTCAGCCTCCTGAGTAGCTGAGATGACAGGCATGCATCCCCCATGCTGAGCAGCAGATGCTTTTGAAAGGCTACGAAAACACAGGCCCCAACTCCAAGAAGTTTACAGCTCACAAGGGGACAGAGCTGTCAGCACAAAGGATTGAAACCTAATAGCTTGGGGATAATGGTGAAACCAAAGGACGGACATGAGTTATCCACAGAAGGGGCCAAGGAGAGGGGAATCTTAAGGTGCAAAGTCATTCTGGAAAAGAAGGAATGTATCCAGTACTGTATCACTATTTTAAATAATATGGCTTAAAAAAAAACCCCAGGCATATAGGAATTGGAGGGCATTTGATCGTGACCCAGCTTATTTCTAAATTCAATTTTAGACATAGCAACATCCAGTTTGAGGAGTTGAGCGTCCCAGTGGGAACCCAATGCAACACTCCCAGGAGCCTGTGGTAGAATGGGACTGTTCAGCCTTGAGTAGAAGAAAAGAGAATGAATAATTTGGGGTGTTTTTAGTCTAGATCAGAAGACAGGAGGACTGAGGGCATAAAATGTCAGGCTATTTTATGCTATTTTGAGTACAGTGAAAGCTCTTAACTAATCTCTACTTGTTAATCTCTGACTTCTCTGTAAAACTTACCGGCAGAGATCTGCAGCAGATGGAATGTTCTTGACCTTTTTCTAGAACTCTTGACCAGCTCTGCCATCATCGTCACAAAAAGTGTGACACATACGTCAAAGACATGGATTTGTATTACCTTTTCCTCTACCCCATTTGAACGTGTTTAAAATCTTAACACCTCACTTATACTTGTCTTCTGCTGTATCTCCTTACCACTCAGATAACTGGATTCTCTGTTACCAGGTTACCTAGTTACCAACTTATGAAAAACAGCTGTCCTCCTTAATGTCTTAATCCACAATGAGCCCACAGTATTAGGAATCCTTCCAGACTGGGTCCTTACTGCCTGCTGAGAACAGGGAGTAAAGGCCCTAGAAAATTGATTCTAGTCTGACTCATTGAAGAAAAAGTGCAAGAACAACTTTGATAATTTCTTTATTTATAGGCATTTCAGAAACATTTAAATCAACAATGACATTTTTTTTCAGACATAACATACTGTGTTTATCTTGAGGTACACATTGGGCCCATTAGATAATGCTCTGGAACGCAACGCAACTGTTAACTTGTAGTTAACAATCCAAGTTTTCCAAGTGGAGAAACTATAAAGATGGTCACAACATTCTTTGAAAAGAACACACCATTTCCATTTAAGAAAAACTACTGAAATTCTTGAGTTCAACTTTTAGACTTAGCTGAAACAGTATTTTAAATGGAACTTAGTTATGAAAATGGGAGAAAAAGCTTAGAGCTAAGAAATTATCTGAGCCCTACTACATGAGATTGTAAACAAAGGAAATTCACTATCTGATAAGCTCTACTATAAAACTCATAGCCTAGAGCAGCAAAATTACAGAAAATTTTTGTATGTAATTTTAATTGAAGTCATGTTTAATCCTTTTCCCTGGCTATCACAATGAGACAAATTGTAAAACATCAAGTTTTCTGAAGACTAATGATGTGATTTAGCATGACGTGGTCATAAGAATCCCACAGTATTACAACGCCACTGTATCCAAGTCCTACTTTCCATCATTTGCACTCTGGGCTTTTTATTCCTGAACTAGCAGCCTTTCAAATGCTAGAGCAATAGTGAAAGTTGATGGAATGGATGTTTCTGAAAGCAGAATGCATTCTTTTGATAGGTGGAAGCTAAAATTCCTTTGAACAGTTTGCTAGGTTCTTTGGATAACTAGTTTGTATTCCAGTTTGTCATCAAAATGTTCATCTCACACTCGTTAGGCATGAGGAGCAGTGACCTGCTATCCTAAGTGTTTGGAAAATGGAGGACTCACTGTCCATCTACACCTGGGCCCTGAACTTCTCAGGGAGGTGAGCAGGGATGTGCAGGTGGTCCTGGAATGTGTGCTGAGGGGGTTTGTGTGTGTCTGAAGTTGGCTGGGATGGCTGTCATGTATTTCCCATAAGACCGTTGCATTTATGCAGGAGACAAGAACACTGCAATTTAGCTGAATGGGCAGTTTGCTACAACTTCATAAACTTGAATGGTGTATGTGGGTTGAGAGAGTGTAAGTGTACATTTCACAGTTCATAAAGTTGAGCAGCTCAACTTAAGGAAGGGAGAACTTGCAGGCATTGACAAGATGAGGAGGAATTGATCTGTGAGTGTTGAGTTCTCCCTCTGAGTTGGGTCTGCATTATATGTTTGAGCTGCTTGGCTTGGTTTAACACTGCACTTCTCTTCTGATGGGAGCCATGAAGATATTTTTTAGCCATGAATTTATGGATCCAAGAAAAAGTCCGTTCAGATAGACCCTTTCCCTCAAGAACCACAGTCACTCTTGATTACGTTGAGCCTGCAGAAAAGATGGACTCATTCGTGACCTGGCTGGCTAAAAAAGCTTGTCTGTGGAGACTTCTGTACATCTCTTTCCACTGAGAACTTGCAGTTCCAGGAAAGGATGGGCTGTTTCCTTCTTACTCTTGCACTTATCTTTATTGGTGGCATTTCAGAAATGCCAGAAGATACTTATTACAATTAAACATTTTCCAAATCAGTAAAATAAAACACTAGACAAAAGTGAAAGATACTTTTGGCCTCCAACCTATGCCAGGTACTAATGGTCTTGTGGTGTTTATTTTACACCCTTACTGGGGCTGCTGTTACTTCTGCCTGTGGATGCCTTAAAGATGGGATACACATCACTCTCCACACATCCAGTTGCCCAGAGGAGCTCATGTTGCTCGTAACCAAACATACATGGTATCAGCAACTGTGAATTTAAATGTAAGCGATTTTTTTGGGGTACCAGGGATTGAACTCCGGTCCTTGTGTTTGCGAGGCAGGTGGCAGAACCACTGAGCTAAATCCCCAGCCCTTGTTTTGTTTTTTGAGACAGGGTCTCCTATGGAGACTGACCTGGAACTCACTATGTAGCCCATGCTGGTCTTGAACTCACAGCGATCTTCCTGCCTCAGCCTTCCGAGTGCATGGGATTACAGGCATGCACCACCACGCCCGGCTAAATGTGAGTTTTAAGAAGGCAGGGGCTACATCTTTGGTCAAGACAAGCACCACTGAAAAAAGGTGCTTCTGAATGTACAATGCATATACAAATCAAGGCTAGTCTGCCTTCAAGGAATCTCCAGGTCACTAGTCAATATAAACATGGCATAGGACCGGGGACTTAGTTCAGTGGTTCTGCTGCCTCTCTCGCAAGCCCAAGGACCCGAGTGTGTGTGTGTGTGTGTGTGTGTGCGTGTGTGTGTGGCATAAATAGGCCAAGACCAAAGCAAACACAGGAACAAAAACAAAACAATTCTTTTTTGTGTAAGGTTTCTGAAAAGAAAAAAAGATAAAAGTTGCTTATGTGGGGCAACTTTCTCAATAAACCAAACCAGCCTGGCTCCTTGCTTCTGAGCCGAAAACTGCATCCAAGTGCTAGGTGCCTGAAAACGGATGAAGCCAGGTTTTGCCATTGAACATGTGCAGATTTCCAAATGCACCTCATCTGTTTGATTCAAAGAGAAGTTCTGAAGGGGTAACTCACCGAGGAGTTAGCTCCTCTCATAGGCATTTCATGGGTATTGGGGCGTGGGAGAGCAGTGCTGAACACTTCCTCACAGATCTGTCAGTTACTTCTAGAGTCCTCCAGGTGAACATTTTATAGGGTATCCTTTTTACCTGGAGTATTAGTATTTACACTATGGGATGCGTGTTAAGAGGGGGGGCAAAACCAAAACTTTTTTCTTTAAAAGCTCTATGATGGAAAATTTTAACAAGTATCCATTTACCTCAACTCTGAACCATGACATGAATTAAAAACAGCTTTCTAGTGCCAAGAGATAAAGACATAATTCATATATAAAGACATGATACCAACCCTGACTTGGGGGGTCTTGTCTTTGAATTTGTTTTTTGGAGAACAGGAAGAGAAGAAATGACGCAACACTACTAGTCATGCTGACACCTTGTGGCTGATCTACCCCACCTAGGAGGCCAGTGTACCTTGGTCACAGGCTGCATATTCAGAATCTGAGGACTGACTAAGTGGCTTTTTGGGGGATGGCTTGTTCAGAGAACTAACACTTTCCTAAGGTTCATATTCCTTCAAGAAGTCAAAAATGAGAATGATGCCATTATTTTTGGAATAAATTTACCATATTTAGTAAAAATTTTCACACTACTGTCCTGGAACTTTCCCAAGAGAAGTAATACTAGTGGTGTCTTTTCCTTATAAGAGAGGAAAGAAAAGCTTATGAAATTAACAAGGACTCTGACTGACATTTTAGAAATTACCCAGCCTATTGGAGCACTGCCACCAAGAGGACAGAGCGTCTGATTCAGGTGTTCTCTTAGAGCAAGAAAATGCCTCACACTGACAGTGCTCCTCAGACTCACCAGCAGACACCACAGGAAAAGACCCTAAAGCTGAGAACTATCATTCAAAACAAACTAATTTCTCCAGATGTTGGCAAGAATATGCAAAAACGAGCCCCACCTTGGGCTTAAAATCACATTTACGCCTTTAATTCAGATGCTTTACTGGTCCCTTCCAGGTTTTCAGGGATGAAGCCTTGTAAGACTGAGCTTCCAAGTTCAGGTTTCTAAAAATCTTTGGAATCATTCTGTCCACTGTTTAAGAGAATCAGCTTAGTTTACAGTCCCCAAAACTCAATGGATACTCGACAGTGAAGATACTATCTAAAATATCTGATTCAAAATTGCTTAAAACATAATACACAAGTGTGTACTGTGTAAATATATACACACGCGCCCCCCACATGTATATTTCATTTTTTTTCCTGCTCAATAAAATCTAGCAGCAGTTAGGTCAATTACTGTGGTCATGATTTGTATTACTTTTAAGGAAATCATACATTCTTTATGAACACATGACTTTAGGGAATCACCTTTTAATAAAAGATCCCCACCAACCCTATAACATTAAAGTGTCATTTCATATCACTAACATTTCAGGCACAAGAGTAAAACAATTAGCATTAAGCAATCCAAATGACAAGAGCACAGAATACAGGTAATTGTTTAATGTGAATTCTCCCAAGAAGAGAGTTGCTCAAAAATGTTTTTCATTTCTTTTCCTTCCTTCCTTTTTTCTTTCTAAGATTGTGATGTCCTTTAGCTTTGGCTATTTTATAATAAATATTACACCTTCTCAAATAAACCCACCGGGCTAAGAATGAGTCCTCCGCATGTGCCCATTTTGTTCATAGCAGCTGCTGAGTGTTGAGTGATGTACAAGGCACACCTCTGAGAGTTCTGCACAGAGTCTTTATTGATGTACAAAAGACCTGTTCACCATTCAAAAATGGAATCTGCATAGTGAGTTTCTCTTATCCCTATATACAGAGAAGGTTTTAGTGCAAAAACATGAAATTGTGTCCCAGCCCACCCCTTCTAGCATGCACATGTATCAGTTTTGTTCCATGCTAGCTGGGGTTATTTAGCTATATTTTGGGCCTCCAGCCATTAATGAATTGCATGATTTTCTTCACCTGAAGTTTGCTTAATTTGAAATCCTCTGAGAGGATTTCTTCTGTTAGTTGAACAAGCAAATTCCCATCAATCTTTTCAGTGACAAACAAGGATATGACATCTTCGGACAAACCAATGAACCGCAGTGACTTGGAAACTTCTTCTATGGAGAGTCCTGACAGGTCTGCAGGTGGCTGCCACGGGGAACCATCGCCACAAGACCTGGGGGCTAGCTGGAGGTGGAGCGGAGAGGAGAAAGGGTAAGAGATGGAGAAGATGTCCTGCATGCCCTTTTTAACAAAATACTGGTCCTCGGAGAGGTCTGGTGAACCCAACTTGGGGTCCTCCTCAGCACCATCAATTCTCAGAGGCAAAGGAGATGTTTCTGCGGCTGCTTTCTGTTCCACTGGCTTTGGGGCCCTGGGGGGTAAGGCAGGGCAAGAGACACTCTGCTTGGTCATGCTTGCTGCAATGGCGCTCTCTGTGCTCTCCAGCGAGTAGCTGGCTGACTTGGGACAACCCGAGGCGACGCTACTAGATTCTGCAGTGACTGCGCTGGGGGTGCTGCTCAGGAGCTCCGAGCCATCAAAATCAAAAGGTGCTGGGCAGCTTCTCTTTGGTGTGCCGGGTGTCTTTTGTCTGGGATAACTGTAACTCCTGCTTGGATCCAGCAGGAAGTCGTTCCTGGTCTGGCTCTCTGATGTTCCCGAATAATGGTTAGGCCACGAGAGCCGGGAGGACAGAGCTTCCGGGGCAGGACTTCCGAACGGGGACTTCAGGTCCACAGAGTCGGTTTTCACTCGGTTGCACGGATAGCAGGAAACGGGAGCACTTTCAGAAGGGCTCGTGTCACTTTTAGTAACGCTGATTAAGAAGCAAACACACATGGAAGAGGAAATTAGTAGGGGGGGGAAACCCAAATCAAATTCCCTAGCCTTTTATTATTTACAATTCCAAGCAGAGAAGTGCAGCTAGGAAAAATATGTATCTCTTATCATAACTTCAACAAAGTGCCTGTGAGCATCATTTTTAAACAAAGAATCTTTAATAAAACACATTGGTAATTATGGAGATAGCACCTAATGATTTAAAATGCTAATGTGGAGACAGAAGAATATTTTTTTAAGCTAGTAAGTAAATCATTTTTAGTAAGTGCCTGGATTTTTATGTTAAGAAAAATTCTCAAACCATGCTTTGGGCTTTGTACCGACAGGTGCCAAGACTGAGCAGTAAACAGGCACCACAGGCTCGGCATCGGTGTACGACAACTACACGACTACAACATCACCACCTGAGACTCTATTTCCACCCAAAAGTCTGAGCCTGAAAGCAAAGCTTTTAGTAAAATGCACATCCTTATCTCTGTATCTGTACAACTAAATTATATAAGAATTCTGATATCCAAAGAATTAAAAAAAGTCCTGCAAAGAGAGCTTTCGACTTCAAGAGCACATGCGGCATGGTGCACCCCGCCCAGGGGCTGTGCTGTCAAGAGTGACGCTGCCGCTGCCGTGTGCTTAAAGGTGGGTGACCTGGTTAGGAGGGGGCGGCAGCAACGACTGCAGGAAACAGCCTACACCAAGGATGCTGTTTTGGAGAAGACATGACTTTTACATCCCAGCAAGTTCTCATTTTCAAGAGAGAAGTGGGGTGGATTTATTTTCTCTGGATATAAATAGCTGAAAGTTACAGAGATAGATTTTAACTCTATGATATGAAAGACTTCTTCAAAAACAAACACTGTCGCTTGCCGACAATGGAATGGACCACACTGCAAAGCAAGTGAACTTGCAGCATGCGGGAAGACTCCAGACAGGAGGGGATGACGCCTGCCTGCCTGACAGTGACAGCCAAGAAGGGTCCCTGATGGGGCAGGGATGTGGAGCGGAGAGCCGAGGGACCCTTCCTGGAAAGGTCCTGGCGGAGGTGCTGTCTGCTTATCTCAAAGTCCAAATGGAAAGAACTAGATGCTGGCTTGTGAGAACAGGGGCCTGAGCCACTGAATTTCTCACTGACCCCCGAGACATTATCTTTCTTCCCAAGACTTTGGCTTTTCCATCCAAGGTCAAACCCAAAAGGAGCACTGCCATGTTCTTCCAGCAAAAATGATTTTAAAAGATAAAAGCCATTTCCTCTCCCACCACCCTGCCTCAGTGATGCTCCCAAGGGCCCTTGAACTGGCTGATGAGAAGACGAGGTGGCGGAGGGCCTGGCAGTAAGACTTACATGTTGTGCAGCCCTGAAGAATAGTAGGACAAGGTGGGGCTGGGAGAGCGAGTCTGTGGCCGCGCTGGCTTGACTGTGCGAGGAGGGATGGAGGGACTTGTGGACAAAGGCTTTGCGCTTCGGGGTGGAACAGGTGGGGCGTTCAGGAGCCGGCATTCTTCCCTGACCTGGCGCAGAAAAGAACACTCCGGGTTAGCAGCAGACTGACAAGGCCCCTGTGGGCCAGCTCCATCCTGCAGGGTCAAGCAGCTACTGTTAAAGAATAGCAGCAGGGTGCGAGCAAGGGGCAGGAGAAGATGGGAGCAAACAAGAAAGATGGTAAACTTAGAGGCTGCCAGGGATCAAAGGGGACGCCTGTCACACACTTGCTGGGAACAGACTGATACTGAAAGAAACCGCTTGGCAAATGTCAGCTGCTTGGAAATACAGCAAGTAATGTGCAATACGGCAAGTGGAAGTGTCTCTGGTTAAAGAACTGTGCAATGTGAGGCTGTATAAAACAGAAGTACTAAGGACAGAAGGCATTCAGGATGTTGACAGAGGGCTAGATGCTCCTGTTGAGTTTTATTTATTCACTGTTGTAATGGGGTTTAGTTTGACTCAAACTAGGAATGGTAGACTTTCTCCAGGCTTAATGTTCCTTATGAAGTCATGTTTGGCTTCTCCAACGTACACGTGCATGCGAATCTCCCAGAGACCTTGTTAAAAATCAGACTGTAATACTGGAGGCCCAGGGCGGGGCCCGAGAGCCTACATTTGTCACAAGCTCCCAGGTATAATGGATGCTGCAGGACCAGGGACCGCACTTTGAGCACCAGGGTTGTAGAGGAAGCAGCAAGGCAGCTCTCCAATTCTGAAATGCAAGACTTAATAAGAGCTGCCTCTGCCTCGCACTCTGACTGGAGAGGATGTCAGTAACCCATGATGTCTGTGTGGTCGGTGTCTGTCTGTCCTTACCCCAGCTTGCTTTCCAGCCCCTGCAGGCACTTATAAACACAATTCCTTACCAAAGCCGTGGGCATTTGGCATGTACTTCCCTGTATCAGGCAGCAGGGGGCAGTTTATACCCGGTTCTACCAGTCTACCCTGTACTGCAGAGGTCAAAATAGCCAATCCTGACCGTCAAAAATGGTGGGTTTTGAATGACCCGCCTGCTTTCAGGCCATATTCCCATCAATTTTTTCACCTTTGCTTTTAATTCCTTTCTGTCCAAGACGCTGTGAGGCCATAAAGACAAGTGGCGTGAAGTCCGCTGAAGACAAAACCAAATGGGCTCACGTCATTACATCGCACTTCCAACCTCCTACGGACTGCAGAAGGCCTCCAACTGGCGTCCCAGGCCCAATTCGTTTGCAAAGAAAACCAGCCACGAAGGAAAGTCCTGCGACCATGAACAAATCTTGATACTGAGTGAAATGGAAGCTATTTATAATCACATCTGCTGCTTTCCTTCCTGGAACGGGGGATCGCTGCTCCTACCTGCAGGATCCATACCCTGTCACTGAGGATTTTTCACCCGCAGAAGCTCTAAGCTAAAACAGAATATCAAAGGCAGCAGACTGCTTCCCCAGTAGCTGCATGTTTCCCCTTTTTGAGCCTTCCAAAGAAAACTTGGAAGGCAATGAGATTTCGATGAGAGAAGACTGCTTAGCTCTGGCACTGTTTTGGGGTCTTCCTAACCTAAGATGAGAACTAACTAAAAACACAGAAAGTCTGGTGGGGTTCACCTTTCTTGGTTTCCTGGGAGCATCCTGTCATCTTCCTTCTGTTTGATTTAGAGAGCCATACAGTAGCTGGCTGTGTTTCTTTTCTTTCTCAGTGACTATGTACAGAATCTAGGATAGGTGGGTATGATTTTATCTCAGAAGTGCTTGGTTCAGTAATGCTTACAGTAATAGCAATCACAGAAAGTGTAAGCATGAGTCAGTTAATTTTTTAATTTAAAAAATGAACAATTGTAGGGCTGGGGATTTAGCTCAGTGGTTCCGGTGCCTGCCTCACAAGCACAAGGACCCAAGTTTAATCCCTGGTACCAAAAAAAAAAAAAAAAAAAAAAAAAAAAAATGTTTTTTA